AAACTTCTTAATCTATCCCTCTCATTCCTCTCATACTCACTAGATGCTTTATGAACCACTACCTGTATCAGGGCATATATAGCGTCAGCCCAGAAAACCTAGATGACTTCTTGCTTCCCAAACACTCCCCTCACCCACACTAACCATCTCTCCAACTGAAAGGCTGAAAGAGAACCTCTGGTTAAAAGCAACTTCCTCTTCTCTAACTCACACCACGTCATTCTAGGAGTCTCATGATTTCTCTAATCTAACCCCAGGCTAGCACATGACTCCTGTGATTCCCAACAAGTTCAGAAAATTACAACATTACTATGCATTTCCTTGTTACCTCGGTATGAATCTTAGCTTCCTACCTAACCCAGATTACAAATCCTTTGAAATATTATGAATATTATGTTTCACAATTCCTTATCCTCCAGGGCTCACCAGTGGTGTAAACATGGCTCATACTCATTAAACAGTTGAGAAATGTAGATAAAGAAAAGGGTTTTCCCTTAGGAAGTTTCTATGAATGAAGTTGACCTTTGAGATCTGGCAATAGTGCTTAGTTGTTGAGAGGAAGGTCAACTGAGGAAATAAGAAAACTCAGTGTGACCCCTTGTATGTTTCCTCTTCTTGCCTCTGCCTTTTGTTGTGCACTGTGAGGACTGACTTTACTCTGTGAAGACCATCTCCCTACTGTGTTTTGCTTGCTTTGGGGGATTTCTTTTCTGATTTCTACAGCCAAAGAAGCATTATTACTTACCAACCACTTTTGCATGGTGGCATGGGATCAGCTCTCTCTTGGATCTCAATTTAATACTGACTAAGAAGTTTATTCCTCCATTTTAGGCTGCTGTCATCATATTAATCAAAATTAACCTTCTCATCATCTTGTTTTTTAAGTTTTACAGACAGATGTTGACCTTTCTTTGAAAATTCTATATTATTTAGATAGATGTGTATTATAGCCATAAAGACAGATTAATAAGAATATTATAAATGTGTTTCATTCTGATTTTGAAAGCGATTTCATGACATTTCAGCACTTTTATAAATCTAGAAGGTTTCACAGCTCTTGTTAACTTATCTGTTTTTTATCTTGATTTAAATGTGTAGAATAAAAAGGGAATAAAAATTTTATGACTATAAATATCAAATTGTGTTCCTATCTCACACTGATCGCTGAAGTTCCAAATATTTTAGTGTATAAAGTTATGCACTACTCTAAATATTTACATTCCATTCCTCCTTTTGCTTCTGTTCAGTTACCTGAACAGTTACCTGAATTTTTGTCTCCATATTAATACAAATCCTTCTTGGAGGCATCTAACTGGTGGAAGAATCTTTGCAGTGCCTATTAGATACCAAAACAATCAGATTTCAAATCAATGTATTTCAATGTGGTTATAATTGCTAATTATTACTAGATAAGTTACAGAATGTATGTGTGGAAAACCTCCCTCCCAAATTCATATGTTAAAGTCCTAGTTCTAAATGGAGTGGTACCGTGACACATGGCCATTGGGAGGTAATTAGGTCATGAGGGTAAGGCCCTCATTCATGGTGGCACGAGTGTCCTTAAAGAAGAGGAAGACAACTACCCCTTTCTATCATGTGAAGATGCAAAAAAAAAAAAAAGACAGGGGAAACAAGAGAAAAGAGAAAAGAAAAATGACTGTGAACCAAGAGGGTGGTTGTAACAAGAACCTGATCATGAGTCTTAGATTTCCAACCTCCAGGACTGTGAGAAATAAAGGTTTGTTGTTTAAGCTTTCAGCCTATGTTATTCTATTTCAGCAGCTTGAACTAAGTTGCATGCTGAAAACAAGAATAGTAATATGCATTAGCATTTGTTATGTTAAAAGATGAACACTTAGAAAAATCAATTAAATGGAGGTTTTAAACATTTTCTTATAACAAAGTTCCTATGATTGTTATTGGCCTGGTAGAATTTTTAAGTAATCTGATGAAATCATAGAAGTTTAGAACTAGCAGGGAAGGAAGGACAGGGAGCCTTGGGGTGGAACCAGTTTTAATTAGATGGTCATTCATTTAAAGAAGACAAATATGAGAATGCAAAATGAGTTGTCCAATGTCAAGCAATTGGTGCCAGAGTGAACCCTTGGGGAGAGATTTCCTACTGGCTGATTCTGAGATATGGAGAATAGATAAAATAGAAATTGTTTAATTTAATGTGAAAACTCACAGTTCGGTTACTTTTCATGACTTTTCTTGTTGATTCAAAATCATGTTTGCTTAAGAATTTGAATCATAAATGATTCTGTTCTATCAGTTGTAAAGTCTCAGTTTCTGAAATGTGCCAATGATAGATCAAATAGGAAAGGGAAACAGAACTGGACTTTAACATAATTCGGAAGGAATTAAAACCAAGGTAGGTAACTAAACAGCACATTTAATAAACATAGAGTAAGAGCTTGTTATGTGCTAGTCAGCCTAGTCAGCAAAAGCCAGACACGGCTCTTGTCCCTAGTCTGACACACAATTTTAGGGCAAAAAAGAGATGCTACAGATGGTAGCTGTAGGAGAAGGAGATTCTATGGGATGGCCATTGTCAAGTCTCTGAAAGCTTTTTTCTTTTATTTCCATATCCAGTGACATGTTAGAGTTGATTGCTTTTATTGGATGTGTAACCACAAAGTGTGGTAAAATGACATAAAAACTTACTTTAAATGTCCCCAGGGTATCTCAAGTGCAAATTACACTGGAGCCTTGCTGGACTCTGATCCCTACACCTCATGACTGGTGACACTTTGTCTTGTGTCTGAGTCAGCCTGGTACCTATGATTGCTTCATCAGTAAAACTTAAGAGGACAGACTTGACTTTTAATATATTTCAGATCCTAACATTTAATGCTCTAAGTAAATATAGTGATTTGGTGCTTAATGATTAAAAATTTGTAGCAAAACCTAGCTTTTGAATAACTATTTGTTCCTTTTCTTCCATTTTCATAAGTAAAAAATACCTTTGTAACACTATAATTCAATTTACATGCTTTCTGCAAGAAAGAAACATGCGAGAAATATATTACCTTTTCAAAAAAGAATGGGAAGTCCTGTCAAAGGAACTCAGTGTCATACCAGAAGCAACCTTGTCTGTAGGGTGATGCAACTATCACAGGACCAGGCCAGGTAATGTCTTGTAGGGTAGCTGATTTTTATCTGTTTCTTCATGAGAGTTAAAAATCTTACCTCTTTTAGGATATAAACTCCTTAAAGTCAGAGATTGAATTAATTATGATCATCATTGACTGAGTTATTTTTCTGATGTAGTCAACATTCTATTTCAACTCTCTTAAAATCTCTTTAAGAGAATGTCAGTTGATCACCGACATTCAATAAACATTTTTGACTATCCACTATGTGTGACCTAAGAATTACTCTAGGTACTAAGAATTCAACAAGGTATAAAATAGGAAAAAAAAAAAAAAAACCAACAACAATAAAAAAAAACTGTCTTCATAGACCTTACACTCTTAGGAAAACCAATAAAAAACCATAAATTTTTAAAATGTGAACTATATAGTCTGTTAAATGAGCAAAACCAAAATCCAATGAAGAAAAATAAAGCAGCAAAGGAAGAAAGGCATGTTTTTAGTTTTCAATTTTGGTTTTGGCAAGGAAGTGAGGTTGTGATTTTAAAATCAGGTAACCAAAGAAGTTGACAGGAGAAAAGGGCATTTAGGTAAACATGTGGAAGAGATGAAGCAGAAAACTAAATAGAGATCTGGAGGAACAAGATTTCCAGTAGGGAAAACTGCAAGTACAAAGGCCCTGGGAGGGGTGCGGGGAAACAAGCCTTTTAGTGTTCCCCAAGAGTAGAAAGGAGGCTAGTGCGTCTGAGGCTGAGTGAACAAGAGAAGGTAAATTCGGAAAACTAAGAGAGGCCTGATCCTCTAGGACTTTGTAGGCCTTGTACCTATAAAAATGGAAGCTATTAGACAATGTAATTACCTTACTTGCATTGGTATGCAGAAGGAGAGCAATCCTGTTAAAATCATCTAGCTAATATTTTAATCTGAATTTTAAGCTAATAAAATGAATAGATTATCTTCCAGGTAATTGGAAGCCTACTTATAAGACAGCACAGAACAAGGGGACCAAAGAACCATGGACATGGGACTGAGTCCAGGAGAAGTTGTCAAGATGAAAGAGTTTAAATATTAGGGATGAGTGAACACATTAAAGGAGGATTTTTTACTTATTAGGGAAAGAGATGGAGAGATAAGCAGCAAATATAAAGGTATCTAATTACAAATAATTTACTCCCACCCCTCCTGCAAGAACATGTATGATCCCACTGAAGTAGGTTTGGCCACTGGCATTCTCTCATGGCAGGAATGGGTGAGAAATTTTATAGGTTTAAGCAATAGCCTAGATGGCCTAAACCCTGTGCAATTGACAAATAGATCTCTTGGGGGGGGGGAGGGGTGAAGGGAAGACCAAAGAAAAAATAGTATTAAGAGGAGGTGCACACAAAGAGACAACATATTAACACCAGCCAGGTCACAGAGACATCATAAAGTTTCCATGAGCTTGTCTGTATATCTATCTCCTCAGAGTGTTTTAGCTACGTGAACTATATTCTTACATGATTTTAACTTTTTGAAGCCACTTCTGGCTGATTGCATCTGATTAAAGGTCTTGGTGGTTGGACTGGGCAGGTACAAATGAACGAATCATCAGGAAAATGAAATCTCTCCCCCACCCCCCTTGAGAAGCTGCAGCTTTTGAGCTGCCTGAGTGGGCTATGAAGAAGGCGAGGAGGGGTAGGAAGGGTGGGAGGTTTCACAGGTGGGTGGGAGTCAGAAGCACAGCGAGGAAAGGGGCTCTAGGAAAGGAGGTGCCTCAAGACTGTCCTGACTGGAGGAGCAGTGGTGGAGTCTGGCACTCTAGGACCCTGGTTCCCAGGGCAGAGGGGGAAAGCTGTGGGAAGGCCAGCTCTCTGTGACAGTCCCAGATCGCGTAGTGAGGCCGACGAGCAGCCCGAGGTCCCTTACTCTTTGGATTTATCCGAACCATGCGCAGAGTTGATCCGATGCACCTCTTTCTTTTTTATTTGTTTGGAGGTCATGACAGAGGCCGACCCAAGCAAAGCTGAGCTCTCAGTCCGTGTCCTCTGCGGCCCGCGCGTCTGCCGTTGCCAGGAGACGGCGCCAGCGTCCCGCGGACCGCCGGGAGGGCGGGCTTGGGGCGGGGCTGTGAGTGGGGATGCAGCCGCGATCGCAGGTCCCCACACCCAGGTGGAAACCCAGGAGTGGGTGTGGACTTGAGGCGCCAGGTCTGATTAATTGGAGTTCTGTCAAGCAGACTACCTGGCTTTGCTGTTCTGAACCTTACACGTATCATGCACTCTGTCTTGGATGTTCAGTTATTTGAGGATGGATTTTTTTGGTTTTTTGCCGTACTGGGGCTTGTACTCGGAGCCTTCACCTTAAGCCACTCCACCAGCCCTATTTTTGTGATGGGTTTTTTCGAAATAGGGTCTTATTAATTATTTGCCCGGGCTGGCTTCGCTCTGGTCCTTCAGATCTCTGCTCCTAAGTAGCTAGGATTACAGGCATGAGCCCCGGCGCCCTGCGAAAAATGAATATTATTGAGGCCTCACCCCAGGTCTTCTCTTGGCTGCACTAAGATATTCTTTCAATAAATACTAAGGAGACATGGACACCTGAGTTTGACAATGGTTCCAAAAATGAACCCCCTGGGTGCAGGGATATCCCTACAGGGAAGGCAAGGTCATGACACACTTAGTCCCTTAGTGATAAACAAGTAAAGGGTATTACCATGAAAGAATAAAGCGGAGTAATGGGATCGAGGAGCCCTTCACTTCTTTAGAAAAGGCACTGGTGCCTGATAACATAAATTTACCTATTAAGGCTTGACCTGTACTACTAATGAGTCCTAAATGAAATAATATTAATAATAATAATAAATGAAGGGTAATAAGGAAAAAGTATCTATTAAGTCTCAGGACTAATGCTTGTTCAATCTATAATGGTATTTGTGGACTGTCTTGCTTTGGGCTAGTTCTTCCCTTTGGACCTCAGTTTTCCCATTTCTAAGTAGGAGATGCTGAAACCTAACTTGGTTCTGTTTTAAGGATAAATAAGACATATGTAAAGTGTTTAGCACACCATGAAAACACAGTGAATAAATGCCACACTCAGATAACAGCTCTAACAGTTTTACAGAGAAAGCAGATAACATGAATGAATGAAGCAATCAGCTACAGAGTCGGGGAGCCTATGCTCAACTAAGAAATTCTTATACTGGAAAGCTTTCATATTCATTAAAACAATGGACTAGCACAATATTACCTCACTTTAGAGATAATCTGACACTTAGTCCTGGAGTTGAGGTCCCTTAGGTGGTTTGTCCCATGAACCTAGAAATACTAAGCATCTTTAAACAAAATAATTCCCTCTGCTTTGGAGATCAGGTACATACTCTAAGTCCGCACGTGCAGGTGAGAAATACCTTCCTACAAGGCAAACCTTTCAGCATCTCTGGCAAATGAATGCCCAACCCTTTCTACTCAACACAGCCCAGCTTTGTCAGACTATGGCAGTCTTGGTATTATTGGAGTACGACATAGATGACAGACAGCCTCTTCATTATATATGCACATGCAAAATAAATAATCTCAAAGTCGGCAGTGTTAATGCTGTGACTGCAGGAGTGCCCTGAAAGATCTATATATACTGTACTTAAAGACAAAGAAGACACCTAGAGGACACTATTTGTTTATCCTAAGACTCGAATTTCCAGAGAACTCTCCTGAATGAAAGTAGAGAACTAAATCATGAGAAAACATTATTTAACACAAAATCTTATCAGAGTATTCAAACACGTAGCCATAAGTATATACAAAGTCTTGTGGATGAAAATAGCATGATTTTAAACAGCCAGCCTAACAGTTGAATTTCATTTTGACCAGGGACTATCTCTGAAGCCGTTATTAATGGCTATAAGATGCCAAGACCCTGAGAGAAGTGATGAAAAGAACTACAAATTAAAATAATCACTTACCAACCATATTTAAGGCTGAGAGAAGCTAAGTGTCTTGCCAAAAGTTGCAGGGATACTTGTTGATGGCATTTAGATCACAGACATAAAGTCAGGAGTGCTGAGCTAAGCTAAATATATCACTAATCCACCCGGAACTTACTTTTTAAATATCTGTTAAATTAGGATAAGAATAAGGGAATTGTCATCAGAATGGAATGAGAGGATCATAAAACTTTGATAAGTATAGAGTGCCTATTAATTCTTAGTCTAGTGTTCTTTCTCCTGTATTAATTAAGAATGCAACATGCACACATGGAAAGTCTCTTCTTTCTGGAGGCCAAACAGTGGCCAAGTCTATGATTATAAGAGGCAAATATGTTCCTTTGTAAAACAGTTCTAACTACAAACTTTGAGATGACATTTATATGTACACTTAACAAAGGATAATTGCTCCTATAACTGTTATCCTTTTCAAGTCCAAATACCTATGGTCAATATCACTTTGAAATGAAATAATATTGATAATAACTGTGATTTATTGAGTGCCTACTACACACTAGATTTGGGAAGAGTTGCTAGTTCCTTTAGAGACAGACCTGAATTTAAATACTGGTTCTTGTTAGTTGGGTAATAATGGGTAAGTAATCTAACTTCCTTTTTTTGTGATACTGGAGTTTGAACTCAGGGCCTCAGGCTTGCTAGGCAAGTGCTCTACAGCTTTTACCATTGTTACAGCCCTTAATGCTCTGGTTATTTTTGATTGAGAGTCTCGCTTTTTGCCCAGGCTGGCCTGGGCTGGGATCCTCCTATTTTATGTTTCCTGCCATAGTTGGGATGACAGATGCACCACCACATCTAGCTATTGGTTGAAAAGGGGGCTTGCGAACTTTTTTGTCTGGGTTGAACTGTGATCCTCTGCATCTTAGCCTCCGAAGTAGCTAGGTTGACACCACTACCTGGCTTCCTTTTTGTTTTTTATTGTTTCTGAACAGGGAAGAATAATACTTCAAATGTATTTGACACATCATTAAGTATTCAAAAATGAGAGCTGTTATTTCAGAGATAATAAAACTGCAATACAGAGAGGAAATGTGCCTTGGAAACTATAATGGAGACAGGACATGGAGCAGTTGGTGGGTGGCAGAGCAAGATGGGACACATCACAGCCTGAACTATACAATACTGCAGATTAACTGCTCATTTCCTCACATTCCAGATGACTCTCTTGGCTTCAGTTTAGGTAATTCCAAACTTTCAAAAGCTGAGAACAAGGGCTTGGCTTATATTTTATTAGAGTTACTGAGCATCAAGCCTCTCCCAAATCTAGACTTCCTTTTTGGAGAAGAGATATTTGACTTAGAGCAGCAGCAGTGCCTGCTCCACAGGGAAGTGGTTAGAAATTCTCACTTCCCCATGTCAGCAGAAACAAAACTGGCAGGACTCTCTCTCTCTGCTTGGGGTCTGCCCAAATGGGGAAGTGAGCTTTGATAATAATCTCCTCCACCCCCACCATTGGGAGTCCTAGAGGATTTGGAGCCAAGGAGGGATGGTGGCCAAGGTGAGAGGCGCAGCGTTTCTATCTCTTAAAGATTTAATAACAGTATCAAGTGCTTGGTCCCCTGGCCACAGGGAATTACATGATGGTGCTGCTCAGCCCCTTCTTCACAGTTAGATCAAGTGTACAGTGGCTTGGAATTTAACCAACCAAATGAGAAAGTGAATTCAACAGGTTCTGCATAAGGTTGAAGTTGGTTACTATTTCGATTTTTGTCCTTTACTTTTCTCATTTACTTAGAAGTTAATATTGCTCTCCTTTATTGTCCACAGAGCTTCATTTGTTCATCTTCTAAAATTCCTATAACATTCTGCTTTAAAAAAATCAGTTCTTATGCCCTGAGTCTTCTTGACTGGACTGCAAGGTTACTCAAAGCAGCAACGGTTCTACTCTTTCACCAAATTCAGTTCAAACTTTTAAACCCCTAATGATTGGGGCTCACAATTGCTGTGCAATTGCTATATGCTTGACACACTTCCAAGATCCATTTCTGTTTTAGCTCACTTAATCCTTATGACACCCTAGGTGTTATAATCAACCCATTTTACAAAGAATGAAAGTAAACTTTAGGAAGGCAAAGCAACTTCCTCAAAGTTCAACGCACACAGGGAGTGGAGTGTATAGATGATCTGACTTCGAAGTGCAGGCTCTTCCACTCCCTGCTACACTGACCCCTTTAGCAGAGGGGTCAAAACATGTTTACAATTGAAAATAATTTTATAAATCACAATTTTAGCTTTGGCTTTTTCTCCTCATGTTCAGTGTCTACATTTGCAAAGTAGGATTTGGATCCTGTACATACAAAACCAGCAGCCCCCTCCCCAGAAATCCCTATTCCTGAGTAAACTTTAACTTATAGGCTCAATGATCTTTGAAATGAAATTATGAATAGAGATTCTTTGAAAACAGGAATAGGATATTTGAAAACAAGGAAATAGGATATTAATCTCATCTAACAGACCTTAGCAGCGGGACTAAAAGTGATCAAAATATTTTAAAAAACGGCATCGCTAAAAAAAAAATCTTAGTTTTTATAGGACTGAAAAAATATCCAGCACTCAACAAGGTAAATTCACAGTGACTGGTTTCCTATAAAAATTAGCAGGTAGAAAAACAATCAGAAAAATATGTCCCATTTAAAAAAAGGAAAAACAGCAGCCAATTACAAATGATTTTGAGAAAAATGCAGATGATAGAATTAGCAGACAGAATATTAAAATGGTTATTATAACTGAATTCTGTTTGTTTGAGAAAAGAGAAAAAGGAAGTTTGAATATGCGAAGTTTATTTTAGGAGCATCTAAAAATGCAAAATACAATGTGTATATTGAAAAATACACTGAATAAGATTGACAGCAGATTAGACATTATAGGAAAACAGATTAGTCAATTTGAAATACAATAATTGAAACTATCCAAAATTAAACATAGAGAAAAAACACTGTTGAAGAAATCTACAGAGCATCAGGGTAGGTCTAGGGTAAAGGGTGAGGTGGTAAATTTAAAAAA